GCACCAGCCATGCACAGGGAGCTGAAGGTAACAGGCATTATGGGTGTGGTTCATATGGAACAACTGGAACTGTGCAGTCATCTGTGGTGGTCCCTCGTCCCTTGTCTGAGCTTGTGCAGGATAGGCGTGAGAGTGAGAATGTGGGTTTGGCCTTTGAGAACCTCAGAGGGGATGTGGATGCCTCAGGAAGGGTGGCCAGGGACTGTGTGGTGGGCAAAGGGTCCCATGCTGAGTCAGAAGGTGGACAGAGCACAGAGGTTGACATCAGTGACACTGATCCACTCATACCTCATGATACTATCAAAGTTGAAGTCCAGGTCCATGCCTATCCTGAGGAATGAGGTTTTTCATGTGTGTTTTATTATTATTTTTTTTCCCTACCATATATCTAATAAAAAAGAGTGACAGGGGGAAGGAACTTTTGATTTTGTTTTTAGATAAAAGTGTTTCTTGTATTTATGTGGAAGATTTGTCATTCCTTCTGTGTAGCATCTAGTATACCAATACTTTTTTTTCTTTTGTTTTCCTTTTCTTCTCATAACTAGCAGTAATAGCCATGTTCAGAGGAGATTTTCAGTGGAGAAGAATGAAACAAATTACAGATACTACCAGCTAATACTGTATCTGTGACTAATATTACAGCTGACATACTGGGCTACTTGTAATGTTCAGTATGAAGTACTGATGGTGACTGGATACATCTCTGATTTAACCCATTAGCATGGGGTACATGCACTGTCTGCTGTAATTTTGTTTTGTAAATTTTGTTACATATAGATGACTTCACAGATGTTTAGTCACCAATGGGTCAGTCAGTAGGACTACTCAACCACACCTGTTTATTCTGTTTCTTGAATTTTCTGGAAAAAAGGTATTACTTTTCTTACAATTACCATTGTTATTATTATTGTTAATATTATTATTATTGTTGTTCTTATTCTTATTACTACTATTATTATTATAATTATAATTATTACTGTTTTTATTATTATTATTATTATTATTATTATTATTATTATTATTATTATTATTATTATTATTATTATTATTATTATTTTTATTATTATTATTGTTATTATTATTGTTGTTATCATCATCATTATCATTATCATTATTATTATTATTATTATTATCATTATCATTATTATTATTATTATTATTATTATTATTATTATCATCATATTATTATTATTATTAATTTAATTATCATTATAATATTAACATTGATGATAGTAATGATACAAACTTTTCTTCAAAAAAAAATCAAGGTTAGATCAGATGCCAGTGGGTCAGTTGTCTTGGCATTACCCTTACAAGGCTGATTATTTGTCAATGTAGGCAGAGAGGAAGAGCTGCTTTCTGAAAATGTCAACAAACTTTTCTCTCCAGTGGGTATTCCTCTGTCCATCAACTTGTTAAACCTTCAGTCTGCTTAATTATTTGTTAGTCGAGCAATTGTAAGTAGATTCAATATGCGATTTATCAGTCAAAACTATCAGTAAATTCAAGTTGCTATTCAGTTTAGTTATTCAGTCCCCCCAGTCATTCATCAGTCTATTTCTCTCATCCAGGCCCATTTGTCTATCTCCTATTTTATCAGGCCAGTCATGCAGCTTCATTCCATCCAGACATTCATCAGTCCATTTGTCCATCCATCAGAATCTGAGTGTGCTGAATTATCTGTCAGTCCATTTTTTTTTCCCTAGTCCATTCTCTTAGGCACAGTTAATACAGTCGGTCTGTGATTGACATCCAAAGTTCCTCATGGTCATTTATTTGGTCATGCACTCCCTTATTAGTCGACAGTGAAATCCATTCATAAATTTTACAGTTGATCCATATTTCAGACTAATCATGGTAGTAGTTAATCTCTGACTGTCTCCCAGGATAAAGAAAGGGTTTTGTGAAGCTATTTTACATCCAGAGGTTATTATTTTTTCTGCTGTTTTCTTTTTCTTTTCCTTTTTTGCCTTTATTTCTCCCCAGTCCTCTTTATTTCTATATGTTAGAGATATAAACAGTTATTTTATGTAATATAATCAGTGAAATTACCAGAGATATTAATTTCTTATAGATATTGTCTATGATATAGTTAACACCTCATGTAACGCTTTTAGGATCTGATTTCAAACGACTCCTTTCGGTAATCCAAGATTTACCTCCCAGTTTTTGATATATTTGTGTATTTTTTTAGGTCTCTGAATTTTATTTTGGTAAGGGCAGTATTCCAGTTAGCAGAAATTGTTTTTTTGAGGGAGAAGTTTTTTTCTTTATTGAGTTTAAGCTTTAATAACATTTGGATCTGATTGTATATTTTAAGCAAAATATTTTTGTATAGACTGAAATAAGTAGCTCTTTTGTCTGCATTATTATAATTAATTATTTTTAAACTATATTAAAAATCTGTATATGGAAATACTCATATGTATAGTGTAGCTATATAAAATTGTCAGCACTACAATAGATTAATTGAAAGATGTTTATTTGGTGCTGTGCAGAGTCCTGGATTGCTCATAGTATTTATGAAAAGTTTGTTTTTTTGTATACTATTTTGACAATTTATATTTGTAGGTATGTTGTAGGTAATAGGTATACTTGCTTGTATACCTCTAGTTTTGTATGAGAGTCAGTATTTGAGATTTCATTGATTTTGTTTCTGTGTGATATTTTTTTTAATGAGAAAGTGGTGGACTGATGAACAGACCTCTTACTACCATGCTCTTCAACTTTCTCAGTTTTGGAAAGAATCTGTTTTCTGTGGAGGAGCTCTTTGTAATGGATATATCTCACAGACTAATGTAAATAGAAGACTATTTCAAATTAATGATATCCTTAGTGACTGACCCAGGCATTGGCCAGATTAGCTGTGGCATTTTTCTTAACCCCTCAGTGACGGTATCAGAAATCTCTGTGTCACTGACTCCGGTGACTTCTGGCAGCTGTCCTGCCATTTGGCCCAGGACTCTGCTATGTGTATCGGAACTTCTCACTCTAACATGTCATGACGCCTATAGCCGTGCCCATCACAATAAGTCGGTTTGTTATGACGGCTATTAGTGTGGCCTGACAGTAAGAGGTTAAAACATAATTTTAGAATGTTAAGCAAGGCTAAACTGTGAATAATTTGTAATACCATTTGGTATCTGCACCAGGGTTATATCCTTAGCTGGATTGCTAATGATATTAATAGGTTTTTGTAATATATTTAAGTATGCCATACTTTTCTAAACCTGTTTTCATCACTGTTAATTTCTGTAAGAATTTTCCATTTGTAGGAGACGGACCTAATATACATATACAAAAGATATAATTATAGTGTATTACACTAGTACATTTTATAAGATGAAGGTTAAATAATTTGTATCTCAACCACAGCAGGGTAAGAAAGGAAAAGTACTTGTCATATAGATATATATATATACAGATATTTATAAATGCTGTATGCGTGCGTGCGTGCGTGCGTGTGTGCATGTGTGCATTTGTGTGTACACATGTCACACATGCCTGCAGAGGTCTGTGTGTGTGTCTGCATCTCTGTCTGTCACTATCATTGTCTCAAACACATGCACATGAAAAATCTTCTACTCTTTGAGCAAATTTACTTTAAAAGACTGTTCTGTTGGAGTAAATCTGTTAAGACCTAAAAGACTGTTCTGTTGGAGTAAATCTGTTAAGACCTTTTTTTCTACTTAAGTTTTTGGGCAGATCTGATATTGTAGAAAAAAGCAAACTATGCTGTTTACTCCAGAACATTTATATATGTAAACTGATATATAATACATCACTAGTAGCAATATTTTTAGACAAACTTATCAGTAAATTCAAACACTATCAGTAAACACAAACACTAATTTCCTATATGCCAAATGAATTGGCAAATAGGAAATAAGTGTTTGTGTCTCTTAAACAACAGCATAATTAGGAAAAGTTAAATTTGTAGGTGATCATAGTATTCTATACTCTAATTGCTTATTCCCTACGATCTGGATGATGTGACTTTCACATCATGAAAAAAATTTGGCTGAGGGAGGGCCAGGGTGACAGGAACTTGAAGTCAAGAGAATTTTGGCTAAGGGGCAGGTTGGTAGAAAGAGGGCTCTTGCATTATTCCTATCATTAAATGATTTTGCAATATACCATCTGTGAGCCATGACTGGAAGAGTGCCAGCTTCAGGGAGGACATATTTCCATGCATAGGATCCTATACCTGCCAGCTGTTATTGTTATTATTCCACTGAGTTTTGGACTAACAAGGGAGATGACATGGAGTCTATTCAAGGAGAAGGCTATTACCATCTGGATATACATCAAATGACAAATATAGAAATTGAAAAGTGGCAACAGAAAAAAAAAACTAATGCAGAAAAAGAGAACATTGCAAAGGGTGGCAGGGAGTTTTGATACTGCCCATGAGCATTTGTGTGTGCCTGGCCTACAACCCACAATCCTTTGAGAGAGGCCACTCAGGTTAGCCTAATGCCCAGATTTTAGCCATTTAGGGTCAGAGGAGCACCTAGATCCTAGGGATTGATATTACTAGATTTTAGAAGCAAGTTTTGCACAACCAGGAAAATCTGTAGCAATAAAAGCAATAAATTGTAACTGTTTTTGTACATATTAGTCATGATAGTTGGAAAGAAATATATATTTATTTGGAAAGAAATATTTTATGGATTTCTCTTGTGATGTCAAACAACACTAATATTATGGTGCTTTATTTACTTTGGTTGTGACTGTATTGTGATTCCAACAAAAAGTGATGACTCAAGAAGAAATAGTTTGACTTACTTGTATGAAAAGCTTTATTGTTTCTTGTTGTCTTTTAAAATTCTTTTTTGCTATGTCTCACATTTAAAAATTACTTTTCATAAGCCTAGGCACGAGAAAGGGAAAAGAGATACAAACATCCTGGAAAAAAATATATGATAAATGTAATCAGGACATCATTCAGCTTAACACAGAATGGTCATTTTTACATAATAGTTACTAAAAGTGTTATT